TCTAATGTGGTTTTTATAAAATACAAAAAAAAAAAGTAGCCATAAAACATTATGCCTCTCTGGAGAGAAGAATAAGAGATCAAAATATCTGTTTAAAAAAAGTGATTTAAGCCCCAAACTCTCCTGCCTGTTCAAAAAGGAAATCCACAAAATAGGCATTTATCACCAGAAGAAAAGATTATTTCAATTTCTTTTGGTGGTGAAACTCTGACCCTAAAGCCATGCAATGATAAATAGATAGCCTATTTCTGTCCCTTTTATCCACAGATTTCAAAGTGCAAGTCAGAGGAAGGTGACATTTTGGGTCTTATCTAAGTTAGGATGGAGGGAGAACAAAAGCCAGAAGAGTTGAGTGCCTTATTCATTGTTAGGCATAAAGGCAGAGATGAAAGAGTACTTGGTCTGACTCATTCTGGGCTTTTCTTGTAAAATAGCCAAATGAGCCCTTGGGCCTGATGGGAGTCACCCAGGCTTCAGTGAGGGTGGACATGATTTCTGTGGTGTTATGGATGGAATCTAAGGCCAAGATTTGGCTCCATATCACTTGAAACAAACATTTAATGAGTAGAAAGTTCAACTTCCTCAGAAGAATTACCAAGTCAGCTTTTAACTTCATTGTCCTGTCGTTTGCTAGAGTTTTTGAGAGAACACAGATGTCTGCATAAAGATGATGACAGGTATTACCAAACTTCCACTGAGGACACTGTGTGTATGTTTTCCTCAAAGCACCCGGGTACTTCAAGCTGTGGAAAATGGCTCTTTCTTGTCAAGGTCAATAATGTAAGGAGAGTCATGCAGAGAAGATTCCTGTGTGTGTAAAAGGCTTGGGAAATGGTCTTCACCATCGCCAAAGCCAATGTCTAACCTTCATAAGTGCAACAGGCAACACCCAGTGTTCTCATGCTTTCCCAGGGATGCCTAAGGCACAGGCCAACTTCTCTGTGGTCCCCAGGAAGCTTCCAGCGGCGCTAAGGACTTCAGCACACTCCATTTATAAACGTTGACAGTTTTCTAGGAAAATGGGGGACTTTCCCTGGAAAAGACTTTACCCAGCAGTGACCAGCTGCCCCACCTCAGTGGAAAACAGTGGATAGCTGGGCAAAAAGCTGCTGAAACCCTCGGAAAATGATGACTGAATGTCAACACTGCAATGCGCACATGCAGGGTAGAAAAGAAAAAAAGATAGTCATCTCTTTAATAAAGACCAGCTCACTGACCCTGATTTTGGATGACTCTGCACCAAGTTTGCAAAATGGAGCAAAATCCGAGTAGGTTCTAAGAGGCAGGCACTTGTTCTTGGAAATACTGAGGCTTTCTTCATATTCACAACTTTCATTTTAATCCAAATGAGCTTATACCTAGCGGTAAAAGGACAGGGACACTACTTTGTCTATTTTAGAGAAAAGAAAGTCAGAGAAAGGTCGGGGCGCCTGGGTGGCTCAGCTGGTTGAGCATCCTCTTGGTTTTGGCTCAGGTCATGATCTCAGGGTTGTGAGATCGAGCCCCATGTTGGGCTTCATGCTTGGCACAGAGTCTGCTTGGGATTCTCTCTCTCTCTCCCCCATCCCTCCCCCTGCTTGTGCACGTGCTTTCTCTCTCTCTAAAATAAATAAATCATTTTTTGAAAGTCAGAGAAAGGTCTATTTAAGATACGGCACTCAGGAAGAGCCAGAACTGGCATGATTCTGTAGGTTTAGGGAAATACACCTACCTAGGCGAGTGGAACCCCTTATTTTAACTAAGACACCCCACAAATGGATGATAACAGTATTATGGGTTTAATAATGTTGACATAAGGGTCTCTTCCAGAAAAATGACATTTTAACCTCTTGTTTAAAATTCCAGCCCTTTATTTCCTCAGAAATTGTTCTCTTGTCTCTGGATTAGAAAAGTTTGCTGCACATGCAATTCTTTGTCCCCCCAAATCCCAGATTCCTGAGGATTTATCTCACAGGACTCTTAGAAGTACACGTCCTGATCACCAAATGGAGTTGAGCTGAAAGTACGTTTACTGTGTTCTGAGTTTCTTCTTTTCACTTAAAAAGAATACTAAGATGTTACTATCAGAGAAGCAATATAGTCTGGAAGGTGAGAGGTCCTTGAGTAGACAAAGATCTGCATTTCAGCTCTGCCCATCTTGAGCAAGTTCATTAACTTCTTAGCGCCCAGGTGTTATATTTTTGTAAAACAGGGTAATGGCATCAGCTACCTAGGGAGCTGACATCAATCAATAACACTTAAACTACATTTTTTCATTGACCACATACAATGCAAAACGCTTTCTAAGCTTTTTAAATGATCATCTCATTTAATGCTCACAATGTCTCCTTGAGTTGGGTGCTATTATCTTCATTTTATACAGATGAGGGAAGCGAGGCTTTGAGGCATCACACATGATCATGCTTAAGCCAGAATTCAAACACAGGCCCCCTAACTTCAGGGGGGAGCTATGGACTACTACATAAACAGTGTGAGTGAACTGATAAATATAATATGCTCAGCATAGTGACTGATATATAATAGAGGTTCACTAGAAGTTTTGATACAATTAACATTAATTCATGTTTATCAGCAGCTAAACTCTTTGAGGGCAGGCACCAAGACTCACTTATCTTTGTAGGCTCAGATTCTAGTACAGAATGCAAACGTGCTCTGTGAAAACTTGTTAGGTGAAGAATGAACACAGGTTCCACTTGCAATCATCCACACTACGGAGAAGAGCAGACTGAAGCCACTTTCAGCTGGTCTAAGCAAAAACATACCTAGAACAGACACTGAATCCCCTTTGCCCTTCATATTCCCTATTACTGGCAAGGTCTCATAAGCCTGGTATCTCACAGCAATACAGAATACAAAGAATTTGTGTTGTATTTTTGTCCTTAACAAATAGTATTTATCAAGAAATAACCGCCTTCTTGGGGCACCTGGGTGGCTCAGTCGGTTAAGCGTCTACCTTCGCTCAGGTCATGATCCCGGGGTCCTGGGATCGAGTCCCGCATCGGGCTCCTTGCTCAGCAGGGAGCCTGCTTCTCCCCTGCCTGCCGTTCCCCCCCTGCTTGTGTTCTCTCTCTCTCTGGGTCAAATAAATAAATAAAATCTTTAAAAAAATAAGAAAGAAATAACCGCCTTCCCAAATGGTACTGAAGACCCATGAAGAAAATTAAGGACTGCCCTCTCTCCTTAACCAAGTCAAAACAAGAAGCTGTAAAGACTTGGAAAAACTGTTAGGTACTTGGCTTAGGGGTAATCAAAGGTTATGAAATTGATTCCTAATTATTTGTGTTTTAAAATTTCTAACTCAATATCAATTAATAAAATTAAAATCTATTGATATTTAAATTAATTCAAAAATAAAATTTAAAGTTAATTAAAATTCCTACCCAAAGGATACAAAAATGCAGATTCAAAGGGGCACATGCACCCTGATGTTTATAGCAGCAGCATCGACAATAGCCAAACTATGGAAACAGCCCAAATGTCCACTGACTGATAAATGGATAAAGAAGATGTGGTGTGTACACACACACACAAACACACAGGAATAGTACTCAGCCAGCAACAAGAATGAAATCTTGCCATTTGCAATGACATGCATGGAGCTACAGAGGATTATGCTAAGTGAAATAGGCCAATCAGAGAAAGACAAATACCATATGATTTCACTCATATGTGGAATTTAGGAAACAAAACAGATGAACATAGGGAAAGCGTAGGAGAAAAGAGAGAGGGAAGCAAACCATAAGAGACTCTTAAAGACAGAGAACAAACTGAGGGTTGCTGGAGGGGAGGTGGGTGGGGGATGGGCTAAATGGGTCACTTCTTGTGATGAGCACTGGGTGTTACATATAAGTGATGAATCACTGAATTCTACTCTTGAAACCAATATTACACGATATGTTAACTAACTAGAATTTAAATAAAAATTTGAAACAAAAATAAAATTCAAAAAATAAATAAAATAAAATTCCTAACTCAATAAATAAAAATAATGATTTCCTTATAATATTTTGGTTTAGGATACTGCCTTTTACAAAAGTTCATTCTTATATAACTTTCATGATACTACTTAATTTTAGGAAGTTTACTAAAATCCCTATTTTAAAAATGAGAAAGCCTCGGGGCGCCTGGGTGGCTCAGTTGGTTGGGCGACTGCCTTCGGCTCAGGTCATGATCCTGGAGTCCCTGGATCGAGTCCCGCATCGGGCTCCCTGCTCGGCAGGGAGTCTGCTTTGCCCTCTGACCCTATCCCCTCTCATGTGTTCTCTCTCATTCTCTCTCTCTCAAATAAATAAATAAAATCTTTAAAAAAAAAAATGAGAAAGCCTGGGTTCAAAAAAGCTTCACATCTTGCTCAAAGTTACACAATGGATTAAAGGCAGAACCACTTAGGGGACTTTTCCAGGCATCTGAAAAGAAATGTGGATTTGAAACACTGACAAGAGAACAGACAAGCTTCAGCAGAGTTCAAATATTCAGAGATAAGTGGCATTATGTAATGACATATGGCTGAAGACCCTTTATAATTTTTAACCATTTTTTTCTCAAGGACAAATTTTCTTGAGATTGTACCTATTTTTAAATTAAAAGAACAAAGAAAGGAAAAGAGAAAGAAGGAAGAAGATATAATTACACTCGTGTTACTTAACAAGTAATAATTTTATGCAAATCAAATATTTCTAGAAAATTACTAAAATTACGTTTAATGAAACATAGATATTGGGGTAAATGATTGCCCTGGAATCCCAAATATACTCAAGTCAGTACTTCCCATTTAGCCGTCAAGCTCCCAGCTGGAGGTGAGCCGCTGTGAGCCGGAGTGAACAGGTGCAAGCCCGAGCTCGCCCAGACCTCCCTGCGGCTGTTGTGAAAGCTGAGGTAATACACGCCTCAGCAACACGAGGACCTAATTGTGACACACGCAAAGGACCATCCCTCTGGAACTATCCATGTTGGTGACGGAAGGCAGGTCTCGTAAAGAGGAAATCACGAGCAATAATTACCTAGGCATGTAAAGGACTCTCTCGGCCACCACAAAACCCACCCTGAAGAAGAGATTGCTGGCTGGAATGAACGGGAAAACCAGGAACAACAAGCCCACTAACACTTCCTTGTGCTCCAGTCTCTGAAACACACAATAGTGAAGGACAAATTAATTTTTTAAACATTTCACTTCAGTCGGCATTTAACCATCTCTTTCATTCTCAAGTTCTCATCGACGGAATGAATAAAGGAGACCAATGCAAACCCTTTGATCAGTATGCTGAATTCATCAGAGAAAGCCCTCGGGCTGAAAGACCTCTGGCAAGGCACACGTTTGCCACCCAGAAACCTCTGATAATTGCACAGGATCAGTGACCATTACTCCTTGTTCTGGGCCGGCCCTACAGCAACCCTACTTTTTGGTTCTGGTCCCTTTCAGAATCTCCGTCCCCCCCAGGCAACTGGTATCCAGAGAGCAAAGCAGCTTAATAGAATCAAGCTCACTAAGGCATCATGGAGAATTATCCTCTCAGAAATAGAATGCATTAAAAAAAAAAACAAACCCACAACAAACCTACACAAAGCTCACCAGAAGCTTAGCATAAAGCCTGACATAAAGGAAATTAAATGCAAATGGTAAAATTCAGGGAACCAATGAGAGAGATCATTAAAGCTGAGAAATTTTTAGCTCGAATTAAGCCAGTAATTTTTCCATGAAATTTTTTGTCATCAAAAATCATTACAATAATTCATTAAATTGACAAAGCACCTTTCTCTAATATTATATATTTATTGTAGATATTAATCTGTCAAGATTTTTCTGTCACTTTTAATTAGCAGAAAAAATTATTTATTACTAATAATTTGTTATAATGGACACTGTAAAAGTTAGTTTGTATTTCCATGACTGTCTATGATATGGACACATCTGAAGACAGGCCTCTTTAAAACAAACCTTAATATACGGATGACATTATTTTTTCTCTTTAAAACAGTTTAAGAAAACCAAATAGAACTTTGCATATTACATTTATAAATATTTCTTACAAACATTTAAAGGTGTATTACTTTTAATAATTGCAGAAGACTAGATACAAGAGTTTTAAATATAAATAAAACTTCCTAATACAAACTACTAATGCTTTAAGTGGACAAAGTGAAAGATTTTTAACATCTTGAGAAATTTGTCACCTGGATTTTATTTTATTTATTTATTTTTTAAAGATTTTACTTATTCATTTGACAGAGAGAGAGAGCACAAGTAGGCAGAGTGGCAGGCAGAGGAAGAGGGAGAAGCAGGCTCCCCGATGCGGAGATCGATCCCAGGACCCTGGGATCATGACCTGAGCCAAAGGCAGACGCTTAAGGACTGAGCCACCCAGGTGCCCCATCACCTGGATTTCATTAAGATCTTTGTTTTGCTGATTATAACATATAGAGTAATAAAATTGTGGAGAGCAATTCCATATGAATAAATGTGATTTGGACAATTTCCCTTAAATAATTAATGGTTCTATAAGTTATGATCTCATTTCTTTACCTAAAGGAACCATACTCTTCAGAATTAAAAGATGAAAGGGAAAAAAAGGCTTTCATTACAAGCCTTCAACTGAAATGGGTGCAATAGGGCTGATGTTTTATTTTCTCTGACCCACTAAAATTGAGGGAAAAAAAACAGGTGAGAAAAGTAGCAAGTTCATTATATTTAAAAGCTGCAACCTATTTTTTTAATTTAGATTATACTTTGAATTTACAAAGTACATTTCATCTCAAGAACTTAAAGTTTACATAATTTAAAGAAGAATAACACGTTCATAAGAATCCTGTGAATCAAGAGCAAGTATTTCTTTGCTAAAATTGAAAACGAATCCCAGAGAATAAGTGTCTTGTCCAGTGTGACTCATGAACTCTCGGCCTACTATTGACTGGTGTTCTACTTCTATCGATGCACTTTTATTTTTTAGCTATAGTTGACTACTTCTTTCAAGCCTGTCAAAAGGTGAAATACTTTTTACAAAAGAATTCGCATATCGTCCCACAGAAATTTCTGAAAAGAATTTAATATGCTCTATTTATTAATCCTATAGAATTGAAAAGAAAAGAGTGTAAACAGAACTCCAGCCAGGCCGTTAGTCATGTCCTGGGTAGTGTTAACATCTAGTGAGCCACCTCTTGGGCCGTCCTCAAGGTTATGAGACAACAGTCCCCACTGGGGAGCTGAAGGAGGCATCACTTCCACACCGGCAATCTCGCACCTTCTTTCCTGAACGAAGGCTGCCTTCCTCACTCTGGTGGGCATGTGTTTATGTCCTTTACTCAGCAGAATCCCCAGTGCTTTCAGAAGCCCCTAGGTTGGGAGGAGGCAGGTGTCAGGTGACCTGCAGGCACCCATCTCCGTGCCTGCCCGCCTCCCCCTCCCTCTCCCAACCCTGCAGGGGGCAGGACCCCCGCGGAGCTCACCGCTGCTGGGGACAGGGATGATGAGGGTGAGAGTCAAGGAGCCCCCAGCCTCCTCCAGAGGACCGACGTGCAAACTGAAAACTCACAACACAGTGTGTTCCTTGTTCCTCCACCAGGTTCTTCAGTCTCCAAGAGCATCTTTATTTCCTTCATGAATCATTCCAGTTGTAATCACACATTTATCTGTGTGTTTCCTGTCTTTATAAAATGTCTCCCCCAGGAGACCAGAGGAGACAGGAGGGCAGGGAGCTGGGTAGCTGTGTTCGCTGGTGCATGGTCTGTGCTTAGCTCAATGCCTGGCACTTAATGGGTGCTCGGAAATATTTGTTAAATAAATCAGTGAATGAATAAATGGACTGGGCAAGAGAGAAAACTGGATGCAAGAAGGGGAGAAGTTAAGGAGGACATCCTGGTGGAGGTGATGATCTGAGTTTGAAAAAATGAACGAATGCTTAGGAGGCAGACAAATTTGGTTGTGGCTGGGATAGGAGGGCAGGTCCCTGGCAGAGGGGCTGATTCTACGGGGAGCTTTTTGCTCAATTCAATTGAAGACAGCAGCACAGCACCCAAACTCAGTGAAGTTTTCCTATTTTATTTTGTCTTGAGAAAAATAATATTCATGACACATTCTTTATTCTCAAATTAAATTGATGATCATACCCTTTGTCTTCCCTCCTCCCCATTCAGTCAAGAGAAAGAGAAACTATTCAGAAATGTATTTTTAAATGGCAAGTCAATCAACCAAGCAGAAAGTTGTAAAGTTAGGGGAAAATGTCATAGACATGGCTGAATTTTCTAGAATGAGAAAGAGTGGGAGGGAATCTAATTTTGCATGTTGTGGATCACAGATGTGACAGAATTGGTTAAAAAATTTAAAGCTTGTTTCGGCCTAATAGAAACTCAAACAAAATATGAGTGGTGGGGGGAGAGAATTTGTGACTTTCCAAAGTACACAGAGTGCATTCAATTTCTAGGAATAGAGGCAAATGGAAATTTACTTATTCAAATTACAGTAGGGGGTAAAAAGACATGAGAATTAAAAGAGTTAATCATACAGCTATTAATAATATGCATTATTTGATTAACCATGAAACTTCAGAGTTAAATTTATTTCTTTGAGCTTTACCTGATGATCAGTAAAACCAAAGAAAGGGTACTGATACCTATTGTGTCTGTAAGGAAAAATAGATTCAGTATGACAAGTGGTAGGTTTGATTCTTTTCTGGCTTGGGACGAGGTAGAGAAGCATGCCCCTTAGCTGCAAAGAGATAAAGAGCTTAACACCTGCCCAGAGAGTTGTTCAGCTCTGTCTCCACACCACCTATCTGACCGAGCAGCTAAGGAAGGGAAAAGAAGTGGTTTTCTCGGGCGCCTGGGTGGCTCAGTCGTTAAGCGTCTGCCTTCGGCTCAGGTCATGATCCCAGGGTCCTGGGATCGAGCCCCGCATCAGGCTCCCTGCTCAGCAGGAAGCCTGCTTCTCCCTCTCCCACTCCCCCTGCTTGTGTCCCTGCTCTTGCTATCTTTCTCTGTCAAATAAGTAAATAAAATCTTTAAAAAAAAAAAGAAGTGGTTTTCTCAGGACCATTAGTGACCTCAAAGGAAATGTCACTCCAGAATCCAAGTCCAGCCCAGCAGCTTCTGGTTTATTTCTTCCCCTTCTCACTCTCAGTTCACTTTTTGTCCATGACAGACAAGGGGACACACACACACACACACGTGCACTGTGGCCAGCAGGGTGTGGGTGTGTGTCCAGGAGAAGAGGACCCCTCCTTGGCCCATTCAAAACAGACAACATCCACTGCTGACCGCTCCCTTCCAGAAAGGCAGAGAATGGACCTCATTATAGTACTTTTTTTAAGATTATTTTTTTACTTTTAAATTTTTTCTACACCCAACGTGGGGCTTGAACTTACAACCCCGAGATCAAGAGTCCCATGCTCTACCAACTGAGCCAGCCAGGTGCCCCCTCGTTACAGTGATTATTATCATTATTATCATATTTTCTCCCACCTCTACCGTTTTCAGGAAAATGGCATGTAGGGTGCGAGTATGTTCTCAGAGTTCTACATATACCACAGTTATATTTCAAGCCTGAAGATTTATTTGGCAGCGCTGGGCTCTCGCTGTCTGCATCTAATTTATTAATCTTTGGAGAAGCGGATGACAGTCGAGCTCCCCTCCTCAGCCCTAGGAGTCAGGCATTTGCCAAGCTGACAACTGGCATGGCTGCCAATACATATTAGGCCCCCCTTTTTCTTTCTGTTTAGGGGTCTACTTCTTCCATTAGACTAGGAATTCCTTGGTGGCAGTCACCATCTCATTTAAATTTTTTACCTAGATACCTGGCACACACACAATTGGCATGCAACTCATATGCGTTGCAATAGTAAAGCTCAGCGATGAAAGCTGCACACGCATCACTAGGGTTCTCAAGCGGAGCCTTTTCAGGGACTCCCCGCCAAGGAAATCTTTTACTTTTGGTAACCCTCTGAAAGATGGTATTTGCAACATTAACTTGGGGTGAACAGCCCTCAGTCTGCAGATGTATCCAAGAGCATCCTGTGAGGGTCTGGCAGGACTGACCAGCGGTACTGAGGTATTTTAATGAGCACATACACATGCCTTCTGCACCGCTCTGATTCCATTCACTGCTACTTATGACTACTTCCTTTGCCTGGTCCT